CCAAATTAGTGATTATACAATTACTAAATTTCGTAACGCAAGGGAAAAGTTCCTACCTGTCCATGATATTGACCTGGGCAGGTGGGCGTGTGAATGCTTATTTGAAATTAACAACAATTTAAGTGATAATAAATTTAAATTTACTGCATCGAGGACATGGATTTCAAGTTTTAAACGTAAATTTAAAATTAAATCACGTAAAGTTGTGAAAATTGTTGGCACAGTCTGTCGAAAATACTCAAGTAATCGAAAAATCGATTAATGATTTTAAAGAACAATTTAATTTTAAAAAATTAAATTATACTATGAGGTAACTACTTTATTAATATGTATACCCAGTAATCAAAATGTATACTTCAACCCTGCATTCATATATTATTACAGTAATATTTAATAAATAATAAACAGTCTATGCAACATTTTGCTTATTGGAAATACATATACTATAAATCATTATAAATTTTTATTTATTAATTTTCATAATTTAATTTTTAGTGAGATCTATAATATAGACCAAACATCGATTAATTATGAAATGCAATCTTTACGAACCCTCAGTTATCAGGGTGAAAGGTGTACTGCATTACAAGCAAAAGCTATTAATGATAAGACACATAGTTATACACTAATGCCAGTATTTTGCAGTGGTGGCACATTTTATCCAAAAATTTGCTAATTTATTTATAATTTACTTATTTAATTTTTAAAAATATTAAAATAAAATTTTATAATGCACTATATGTGTCAAACTGTAATATTAATATTGTTAATAATGATTTGATTTTAACATTAAATTATTTATTATTAAACTGTAATATAAAATTTTATTCAAAATACTACAAATCAAAATTCACTTATAAGTTTAATTTAATGATATTCTTATATTTTAAAATTAATTACTATTTTTAAGAATACTATCATTTATTTAATCAAAATGAATAATATTATATGCAATTTATGCATAATATATGTAAAAAATATAACAAAAAATTTTGCACCAAGGTGGGATCGATCCAGTAATCAAAAGGTTAGCAGGGCGACACTCTACCATTGCGCCACTGAAATTGGTTCAAGTTATAATGCATTAAAGTGTTATTTATATTACTAATAGATAATCAAAAATATTATCGGGGTTTTCGGTGACCAGGAGCAACTGCATTTTCATAATATTGTGCAAAATGTTATTTTTTCATGCCAATTAACCTAGTGATACTAATCTGGTATTTGCAAAACCGCGAACATCCATTATCAGTTAAATCTGCAAAAATTATCATCATACCAATTGTACTATTAAGTACAGTATTATCCTACCAGGCTAATATTGCAAAAGCTCCAATTATATCGCATAATTCGCTAGAGTATCCATCAAAGGCCATACAATATTAAACAAATAATTTATAAAATACATCTTTAGTTGTATAAAAAACAAATGGAATTACCCTAAACTACCGGATCCTTAATTTGCTAGTTTAAATCCTAAAATTATATTTTAATATGAAAGGTTAATACAATAGTAACATCCACCAACAAATTTCGTGTGCGCTAACTATGATTGCTAAAACGTGACTATACAAGCTAGTTGACTTTAATAATAAATTAAATATTTCAATTTATATTCGCAATAATAGTGTTACTAATTAAATAAATGTTGCATAATATTAAAATAACAATATCCAAGTTATAGAATATATTTCGTAAATTTATCAAAATATTTAATTTAATTTTAATAATTTATATTTAACAACATACGTTTCTTATATTAATGACAAAAAATTATATTCAAATCACATCATATACTCGAATGCCACATCGTGTAGGAAAACCGGGAGGATATAAGGGGGAGAAATGTACAAAACGATTCCCACCCTTACACTTTATACTAAACCTGGGCGTTTTACTACTACATTTCTACCACATGTGGTATTGGTCAATATTTTCTGATTCAAATAAAATATAGAATTATTATAAATCAATGTTAACATGTTCTATAGTACCGTAGCTTATTGTAAGCATATTTCTGATTACAAATTAATTGTAGCTTAGTAATATAGAAACAACATAAAGATAATATTAAGATAACCATAAAATATTCTCCATATTTATTGAATTGTGTTTATTTATCATTTAAATCAATTTTGCTGCATTATTTGTACTAATGTGTAATTTAAAACAATTATAATTGAGCAAGATGTTGAAATGCTAATGATTTGATTATTATGGCATTTATATGCCGTTTGTTACGCGTTTGTATATACGGGCGACGGCCGCCGGGAGATAGTGCTCATACTTTGCATTATGAAAGCGAACCCAGCGATTGTAAATATTAAAACTTACATTGAATATTAGTATAAAAATATTTTAGTATATGATTGTGGTCAGTCATTAGGTTGACCGGGGCAGATCGGGAATTAAGTTATTGAAAATAATAAATCAAGGAATTAGAGATTATTTTTCCTGGTCATGTAATTGTCCTTAAATTTAAAATTTAAAAACTAATTGATAGTATATCATTATGGTTAAACTAGTAGATAAATTTTAAAAATCTAACCACTTATTATTTAATGCATAAACGAATTAACTAAAGTTTATATTTACTTAATTCGTTCATTAAATTAGATATGCCAACTTCAAGATCAAATCGAATAGCAAATGATGACATATTTAGCAATAAATTTGAGAAAGCATTTGACGTATTAAATACGCTTGGTACAGGTGGTTATGGAGAAGTGCATAGGGTCCGCCGTAAATTTAACAATAAATATTTTGCAATTAAGAAATGTACATTAAATGGTAGGTAGTAATACTTGTTAAATTATAGTAAACTAATGCAAGTATATTTTAACTATTTTAGATTTAACAAAAACTGAAAAGAAAAATGTATTAGATGAAACTAGAAAACTAATAAAACTTCGTTCAAAATTCGTTATTCAATACTATGATTCATGGATTGGGTGCAATTGTCTTTACATTCAAATGGAGTTATGTATCGATAATCTCAGCAACCTTTTGCATACAAAAAAATCCATATTTAATGAATTAATGATGAATTCGCAATTTTATATATTGAATGAAATATTTCGTGAACTCATAGAATGCGTGCAATATTTGCACGAAAAGCATATCATTCATAGAGACCTCAAACCGGATAATGTGTTGATTTCAATGGACGGACGCATAAAGTTATGTGAC